ATGATCACAAATCATGTATTGTTCTACATAGATAGAAAATATGACTATGCGTCTATAGGAAAGAGAAGCACTTCAAGACTAGGCTTGAAACCCAGCACCACAGGTCATTGAAGGGGACAGGTGAGACCACTGGCTACCCAGCATCTTAAGCCCCAGGACAGTGGAGGGCCAGTCCAGCCACCCTGCCTGGAGCCCTTCTGTATCCCAAAATATCTGGCCATTATACATCTTTGTACACACTCCTCTTTCTGTGTTACTGTCTTTCTGTTTTATAGAAGTTTTTTCCTGAGGTGGGCTGTCATGCCAGGCTGGACAATGCCTGGTTGCTAATCACAGATTTAAACCAGTTTTGGGGGTGCTGGTTCCTGTCATCAGATCATTTTTCCTGGGAATTTCCTTCAGAATAACTCCAGAGCTGCTACACTATCACACACCTGGGACTCAGTCGATCTGGAGAGACCCAGCACCCTGGAGAAGCAGCAGCCTCTGAAAGGCCCAAGTCCAGCAGTGCCCTGTATCTACCACAGATAAGCTATCTGCCTTTGTTTATTTAACTTTCACTCACTGGGGATTAAGAAACCTTTAATTTCAGGAATAAGTCCTATTCAGGAAACACTTGCAGTGAGCTCTGCTTTGCATCAAAGTTGAGTTCCCTACAGGTATTAATGGTACTAATTTATACTAGTTTTTGGTTGATTTATACATCTTTCATTCTGAGTAGGTCAAATTTTCAGTTGCCTGAGGCTGTAGCACGAACCTCTCCTTGCACTGCTTCATTATGACCTTGTCTCCCTTTTTTCTTTTACTGCTCAGCTATAAAGTAAATTCAGAGAACACTTTCTTTTTTTTTCAGAAATAAATTCTCTTTATTTTAAAATTCAGACATGTGCTTTGTATCAAAACAGACACCAGAAGAGACTTGGTATTCATCTCTGGTTTTAAGCAAAGCTGTGGCTTTCAGGGCTATATAACCAGTAATTTTAATGAATCTTTACAACTTTATTTCTCCCTGCTGATACTCAAGATAGTTTTGCAGATGTTTCAGTAATATTTCTGCCAATGGCCTCTCACAACAGAATGTAAGAAATTTCAGAGATTTCCAGGGGTTAAAAAAAAAAGAAAAAAGAGAGGGAAGAAGTTGAAGCAAAGGTGGCGTCTTTACAATGTCTCATTGAATACAGCCAGTTCTCTACCAATTTTCTGCCATGTGCACTTCTTCTTCCTGGTCTCCCCACAGCCTCCATTTCCAACCTCTGCTTTGTAGTAAGACCTGTGTACTTGTCAGAGATTCTTGAATAAGAGTCTTCCCTAAGACTAGCTACATCCTGATTTCACAGGAACTCTGGCTTTTGGGCAAACACTTCAAATATTTTTCTTATGTCTTCCTGCAGCACATGGTGACACATGGAGTCATGCTTACACAGCCTTGTGTTTTCCACTTTCTCTGTTACTGTGTGGTCCTTTCAGAAGCAAGTGCAAATGGCTTAGTCACAGAGGGATACCATCATCTCCCAGCTGAGCAAGTCCATGTATGTTTGTGCTGGTGAGCTTTGTGTTCAGGCTGCCCTTAGAATCTGTTACCTTTCATTACAAAAATACTGCTTCTCCACTGAGACACCAGGAACCAAGGACTCGGATGATTTTCACTCTAATTTTCATCAACAATTCAGTTTTAATTGATTTTCACTAAAAATGCCCCCAACAAAACAAGAAAAAAAATCCCCAACCTACAAATATCAGTTCTAAATTCAGAACAACAGAAGTGTGTGAGCATACAATATTGGTCTGAACCACAACGTAGTTATTATTTGCAGATGATTACTTGATTCAGGTTAGAATTTCAAATTATGCTGTAATTAGAGATCTGAGATTTTAATTTGGGTATCTCTCTGGTTAATACAAATCATATCCTTATCATGAGCCAGATTTGTTGCCCAAGACATTGATGCTAATTTAAAAATTTCAACATAAACTCTAGTATTACTTATGATTGCCTTCTTAAATAAAACATTTGCAATCTATAGTTTATGAGGAGGAGAAGAGCACTTTCATTTTCCTTTCTCCCCCATCTTGTATGAAGAGAAGTTTCTCCAATGTTTTCCTCATTTGCTTTATGTTTCCCTTTCAAAGATATGCTTAATGTTAAATTGGAAATGTTGCATATTACCTATAAGTATACTGGACCACAGGAATGTAAAAATAACATCCTATGTAAAGTCAGGAAAAAAGTACAGAAACAAAAGCTGGTATCTCTGGAATGAGGTGGAATGATCTTCTGATTTTAACTGGTGAAGCTGCAAAAACAGTGAGCTGTGCTGACACAGATTAAGTGTTAACACAAGTTAAATCCATTCTGATAATTTCTAGGTCTAAGAAAGTAAACACTTTTTCTTGAAAACAAGAAAATAAACTGTTTATTATTCTTTAAACTTTGAGTGAAATTTATCCAAAATTCTGCCATCCTGGTGTGACAAAACTGCAGACTAAACAAATAATCTTTGACATATTTTTGCATCTGCTACCCTGCATTAGTTACTGAAGGCTCCCTGTTGAAAGCACTGGAGAATGGGTCTTTGGAACTGAATGCGCAGGGAACAGAATGCCTGTTTGCTTAAATTAGCCTGTAAGTAACCACATGTTCACCTTAGGTCTTCGGTCTTGTTTCTCTTCTAGGCTGAGGCTGTACTTTGCAAAGCTGTCTCTATATAGCTAGGTGCTATATCCTTCCTACTCATGGAAGGAATTCCCAGGGCGGTAGAGAACGCAGGCATGAATCCAGTCAAGCTGAGAAAGGAACTGTACACACGTTTCCCTCCTTCTGCAGAAGAGGTCTGGCTCTTGAGGTATCGAATACTAAAGGAAAAAAAAGGCATGTAGGGAACCTCACTGTTGAATAGTAGTTAGGCACTTTCAAGAATAGAAAGCATGTGACAAAGGCTTTTAGGACTGTCAGTCTGCATTTAGCTGCCTAAATCCCATTCAAGCCTCTTTTTGGGTACAATGCATCTTTTTCTTTGGGCCTGTCTTTCTGTATCTCTAAGAACAGTCCCAATGAGAGAAGAAATTCCTCAGAGCCTGCAAAATACTGATCTACAGTGATAGCCTAGGCTGTCCAGGGTAACTTAATGCAGTATGGCTGAGGGTCTGGTTCGCGTCTTCCCTGGGCCTTGCAGTAGGCAGGACCTTAAAGAGGGATAGTACTGAAAATGTCCTTGAAAATGTAGGATGTAAATTGGGATGAGTTATTACGGGTACATTTCTTGTAAAGGATTTGGGCAGCGCATGGAAAAAGCCAGTAGCACTTTATGAAAGGCAGTGGTGGTCAGAAGGTTTAGAGAGAAGGATGCATCGCTCACCTGCTCCGCCAGGGCTAGAGCAACAAGTGAAACACAAATCTACACAGGAGTCTGCTTTAATCCATCATTCTATTTTATGAAGCATCACACAGCATTTTCACCAATTAGCATCTGATAGCAATTTAAGTACGGACCACAGGGTCATTTAAGGAAAAAAGCCAACAACCTATTTCATAGTCACTGACTCCTCATTTGGCAGCAGTGCTCTTGGAGGCCTTGGGTAGTACCCAGCAGTTGCTGAGCTATTTGAGAATCGTGCAAATCTGTAATCCAGTGGTAAATCTGAAAAGACAGAAACATACCACATCTGATTAGCAACGCAGACCATATCACATAAAAAATAAGCCTATGGAGAACAGCAGTACTTCTTAAGCCCTTGAGCCGTTTGCTCACCAGCATTAGAACTCGGATCGTGTGATTACATATTTATTTGACATCTTCAGCTGTCCAAGGGATTGACTTTCAGAGTTTACTCAACTGCAGTAAAGGATATTGAGTTCCTGTACTGCTGCAATCATGCTACTCATAGAGAATGATTTAAATAATGCTTAAAACTAAACAAAAATCTTCATTGAGCCTAGATGGAATTGTCCCACTAGAACACTTTCAAGTTCATTCTTCAGTATGTCACCTTTCTCTTTTTGCTCAGTAATCCACTCAGAAGAGGGCTATGTTTAAGCCATGTAATACATTTCTTTTTTTTTTTTTTTCATGTCTATTACAGCAAGACTCCACAAAGGCACCCACTCTTAGGCTTTCTTGCAGTCCGGTGTAAACAACATCACTTTGTACCAAGCATTCTTAGAAATCCGCACTTGTAACTTGTCGTACACATCACTTCCAGTTTGTAAAGAATGCTGGATGCATTAAAGTAGTTCCAAACAGTCAAAGCTTTCTTTCATGTAGCTTTTTAAAACAAGCCTTTGCTGCCAGAAGTGACCCACCCACCCTCACAGCCAGAAAACTGATACTTCCTGTGCTCACCTCACATTCAAAGCTCAAGAAACCAAACGAAAAAAACACACAAATAAAACTTAATTCAAGAAACAATTACCCTTCCAATAAATGAAAAAAACCCAACAACACACCAAACAAACAAACAAACCAACCAAAACAAAAAAGGGTTAGCTCCTTGCCAGCTTGTATGTTTAGAACCAAAGTAAAACTTAAAAATTGTTCCTTAGGTTGTCTGAACAGTAAGTTCTTGATGGCAACCTTTTCCTTCCTTCCTTCCTTCCTTCCTTCCTTCCTTCCTTCCTTCCTTCCTTCCTTCCTTCCTTCCTTCCTTCCTTCCTTCCTTCCTTCCTTAAAGAGGGATAGTACTGAAAATGTCCTTGAAAATGTAGGATGTAAATTGGGATGAGTTATTACGGGTACATTTCTTGTAAAGGATTTGGGCAGCGCATGGAAAAAGCCAGTAGCACTTTATGAAAGGCAGTGGTGGTCAGAAGGTTTAGAGAGAAGGATGCATCGCTCACCTGCTCCGCCAGGGCTAGAGCAACAAGTGAAACACAAATCTACACAGGAGTCTGCTTTAATCCATCATTCTATTTTATGAAGCATCACACAGCATTTTCACCAATTAGCATCTGATAGCAATTTAAGTACGGACCACAGGGTCATTTAAGGAAAAAAGCCAACAACCTATTTCATAGTCACTGACTCCTCATTTGGCAGCAGTGCTCTTGGAGGCCTTGGGTAGTACCCAGCAGTTGCTGAGCTATTTGAGAATCGTGCAAATCTGTAATCCAGTGGTAAATCTGAAAAGACAGAAACATACCACATCTGATTAGCAACGCAGACCATATCACATAAAAAATAAGCCTATGGAGAACAGCAGTACTTCTTAAGCCCTTGAGCCGTTTGCTCACCAGCATTAGAACTCGGATCGTGTGATTACATATTTATTTGACATCTTCAGCTGTCCAAGGGATTGACTTTCAGAGTTTACTCAACTGCAGTAAAGGATATTGAGTTCCTGTACTGCTGCAATCATGCTACTCATAGAGAATGATTTAAATAATGCTTAAAACTAAACAAAAATCTTCATTGAGCCTAGATGGAATTGTCCCACTAGAACACTTTCAAGTTCATTCTTCAGTATGTCACCTTTCTCTTTTTGCTCAGTAATCCACTCAGAAGAGGGCTATGTTTAAGCCATGTAATACATTTCTTTTTTTTTTTTTTTCATGTCTATTACAGCAAGACTCCACAAAGGCACCCACTCTTAGGCTTTCTTGCAGTCCGGTGTAAACAACATCACTTTGTACCAAGCATTCTTAGAAATCCGCACTTGTAACTTGTCGTACACATCACTTCCAGTTTGTAAAGAATGCTGGATGCATTAAAGTAGTTCCAAACAGTCAAAGCTTTCTTTCATGTAGCTTTTTAAAACAAGCCTTTGCTGCCAGAAGTGACCCACCCACCCTCACAGCCAGAAAACTGATACTTCCTGTGCTCACCTCACATTCAAAGCTCAAGAAACCAAACGAAAAAAACACACAAATAAAACTTAATTCAAGAAACAATTACCCTTCCAATAAATGAAAAAAACCCAACAACACACCAAACAAACAAACAAACCAACCAAAACAAAAAAGGGTTAGCTCCTTGCCAGCTTGTATGTTTAGAACCAAAGTAAAACTTAAAAATTGTTCCTTAGTCCTTTCTTCCTTCCTTTCTTCCTTCCTTTCTTCCTTCCTTTCTTCCTTCCTTTCTTCCTTCCTTTCTTCCTTCCTTTCTTCCTTCCTTTCTTCCTTCCTTTCTTCCTTCCTTTCTTCCTTCCTTTCTTCCTTCCTTTCTTCCTTCCTTTCTTCCTTCCTTTCTTCCTTCCTTTCTTCCTTCCTTTCTTCCTTTCTTTCTTCCTTTCTTTCTTCCTTATTTTTTTTTTTTTTACTTCGGAGTAAATCTAGGGTGATGATACCTTTTCATGATATGCTACAGTATTATTATTTTTGTTATGCAGAGCAGCTTTTGTGAAACCCCAATCTTAGCAGTTTTGGCACAAACCACAGGAGGTTCAGGTCTGTCTCACAAGCGGATCACAGGAAGGCATGAGGATCCAGGTCTTCAGCCATAAAACCATATTAAACACAACTGCACACTTGTATTTAGACCCAGATGAAAAATCAGATAGAGGCTGGAGTAAAGCAGAAATGGGAGGAGACTTGATTGGAAGCAAGTTATGCTTCTACTCAGCTGGTCAAAGATGCACATTTTCTCATTTTGTCTGAGTCAGGGGAATCTCTGGAGCCTGTTCTGAGTACAGCAGAACAGGCAGATGTTTTTCTAGTCTGTGGAGGGCCCAGTGGATTTACTGGCTGCTGAGTCCATTTATGACAACTCTGTATAAAACAAAGGTTTTCAAAATAACAAATAATAATAAAAAGGAAAGCAAATATTTCTGAATATGAGCTATACAAATTAAATGCCATACAGTTATTTTTATATAAAAGCTTTCACTAGCTTTTTAGGCTAGCAGTCTGGAGTGTCCAAAGAGCAGTTTAACCAAAGAGCAGCACAAATGGGGCTGAATTGCTACAGAAGAAAAGAACCAGTTGGATCAAAATAGTAATTTTGTTGACATTTCTCCATAAACTAGCTTTACTCCATCAGCTTGAACACCAAACCTATTCTATTCACAATGCGTAACACTGCAAAAGAGAATGATCCCCTTTTTTTTTTTTTCTGTAGTCAATTTATCAATTTAAATATTGTTTTTGTCTGAGGAAGTGTACTTGTACAACATGTAAAAATGATGCCCAAGGCATCACTGAAAGACAGTTGAATGAAGCAGATACTATTCTTCACCCATTAAGCAGATTTTATGTATCACATACATAGTAAAAATCTTCCTGTTTCCAGGTGTTTTTTCCATCAGTGATTTCATTTCCTGCGTTTGCTTTGCCTGGAATACACACCATTTTGTATTACTGCTTTCTTAGTGTGATATATTTATGGCAAGGCTCTGGACTGATCCAGAAAGGTACACTTGGAATCGTAGTGGCTATGAATAAACACACTGTGAAAAGGAAGGGCAAATAGAAGGAAACAGAAGTGAAGATTTTTTTTTTTTTTGAGGGAATGCAAAATCTACGGAAAAATGAAAATCCAGAAAATGTGATAGATGAAGATTGTTAATTTAAACTAAGTTTATTTTAACAAAGTTCTTTGAAAACTTTGAAAACTGAAAATAAACCACAGTTGCCCTGGATTGCAAAGGTATTATGTGAGTTGTATAGCAAAGCTCAATCTAGCTGCTTTGATGAGAATGGCAATGGTGTCACTGCGTCCGGCAACACTGGCTCATCAACAAAGAGCAGTGATGCAGCTCTGGAGTCTGCCTCATGGACACAGCAGCAGCTCATTTCAGATCTGGTCGTGTTCCGTATTATCACTGATGACACACAGAAGAACTAAGCAGCTCCATTTCACTAAACTGAAATTCTTGCACAGTCCACAGCTTGATGCAAAAGCATGCAACCCTCTTCCCCTCCCCCTCACCCCATCCCAGAAACAAAGCAGTATTTGATAATAAAACTGGCCTGAGGAAGAACAAAACAAACAAACACAAAATTGCTTATTTCCAAGTTGATAGTTTTCCTAGTGTCTTTTGCCAGAAAATTTCTCCAGGTTCTGCTAGGCTGCATGCTCCCAACTGCTGCTGTCATGACAGACCTTTGCATCTTGGCACCCACTCCTCACCTAACCCTGACAGAGAGTTATAAATTAGGCAGGGGGCAGATAGCCAGTCCTCACTGAGATAGAACTAGGCAGGGAAGCTCCCATCAGTCCTAACCTACATGAGCAATGAATTCAGCACAAAACTCATCCAATATTGCTACTAGCCTAAAAAAATCCAATCCTGAACAAAGTAAACAGCTTGAGGCTAGAAGAATGAAATAGCTGCCTCTACCCAATTGCTCGAGGACCACAATCCTCGAATTTTTCTATCCTACTTAGGTAATTCCACCCAGACTCATTTTGTTTCCAAGACAAACAGGCCATTCACTTGCAGAGCCAAAGACTCCTAGAAGTCATACATGGAGAGTCGCAGCTGTGTCCCTTTCTAGAGCTACAGAAATGTCAGTTATTAGATGAATCCCCCTGTATTTCTGTTGCACTCCTTTCTTTGCTCCCACAGAAGAATGATGAAAACCAGTTTCCTTTGCCATGACCATTGAGTGGTATCAGCATCTCCCAATGCCTTGGGAAGCCCTTATAGGTTATATGCCTCAGCTGGAGCTCAGAAGCAGAACTCCGGCCCTGCCCTACCTCACTTGCAGGACTCCAGCAGCCCTGCAGTTATGATGTTTGAACAGTAACCACTGCCAGTTACTGTGCTCCAGTTATCCAAATCCAGGTATTAAGTGGCATTAATTACAACATTGTGTTCCAATGCTTATTTATACCTATATCCACACATGCATTTAGGTGTTACAGATGGATTTATTTTATAGTTATTAAGCTGACAACATTTCAGTCTCTGTGTGCTGTTCAGTGAGCGTAAGCAAACTAAATGAAAGCCACAAGCTTTTATCAGAAGAAAAAATAAAGTTCCAGCCACAAGGAAGCAAAAAGAAACCACAAGAAGAAGGGAAAATGTAATATACTTGATGAGTGATCAGGAAAATATTTGAGTAACTGAATGGAAGACAATTATAATCTAATCCAGACACAGGCCTGCTCGATAAACTCAGTACATCTAATCCTTTTTTTTTGAGATATCCTTGAACAAACCAATACATTAAACAAATATAATCTTAACTAAGCTCTTTAGATGGAAGGCTTTTCTTTTTCTTTTTCTTCTTTTTTTCCCCCAATTAAAAGCACACTCCAAGACTGAAACAGATTTCTCCCAAAATACACAACAGAAACGTCAGGAATAATTTTGCAGTATTGACCAACAAAAGCAAAGCCAACATTTTTTCATGATGACACCACAGCAGCATCCCTGTGACGAGTGCGAAGCTCTGCAGAAAGCAGAGCTCCCCTCCCTGCTCTGAGGTCTGCTGCCTGCCAGCCAGAGGGGCTGGAGCCAGATGCTGCAGAAACCTCCCAGTAAACAGCAGGGCTGAGTTCTTCATTGAATCCAAATATATCCTCCTGAGTATCACCATGGAAAACGCACCGTGAGGAAAACAAAAACCTCACTAGCAATACCCAAATTTTAACTTGAAATTTTTTAAAAACTGCTTAATAGTGGCAAAACTCAGAAAACACAGGCAGAGCTCTTTGTTACAGCTCAGCATCCAGGTGGTACAACTACAGTGGCAGATCATCAGCTAGTAATTCTTTTAATTCTTTTGCTGTAACAGGAATTCCAGTAATTTATACTGGCTTAGAAGCTTTGCCATAGACCTTTCCTGGTATTTCAAAGTTGCTGCTGAAGAAAAAAGGAAAATACTAATTTCTTAATGGTGACAATTTCTAATAATAATTTCTAAACGGTGGTGAAAGCACAACTGATGCAGGGGAGTTCACCAGTTTCGCTGCACTGTCAAGAGCCCTGACTTGCCAGCTTGCAGGTAAATTATAACAGGTGGTTTAAAAAAAAATTTAAATGTTTTTATCTCCTGATCCATTAGTATGTTTTAACAGTCAAAGCAGAACTTGCAGCAAGAGCTCAGAATGTGAGGATGTGTATTAGTGCCAAAATAACACCCCTCAAGCTCACAAGTAGACTTCTCTGATAGCAGTTATTTTTAGCAAAACTTCTAAGGCTGATTTACCTAAACAGGAAGTCAGATGTTTGCTGTAC